GTAGGTAGGTCTAGGCGGATATCAGTCCAACCAGTCTGGGTCTAGGGCCTGTAACGGGCAATATCAGAGTCTGCAATGATGTTTCCCTCCGAAAGGGAGGAGGTACTGGTTGCTTGGGAGGCCGAGCAGCCTGGAAGTCACCGCCCAAGAGGCAAAGCAGGCCGCTATATCTTCTGGCCGGGCGGAGAGTCCGGCCTCTTTTTCGGTGTGCAAGTTTGGCGACACACTGGTGGAGCGCTGGCTGGAGCAGCGCTAAGCTGGAACAGCGCTGCTGGGGAGGAAGGAGAAGGACACGAGGGAGGAAGAAGAGGAAGAAGGAAGGAAGGGGGAGGAGCACCAGAGGTACTTACCTGGCTATGGTGGCAGCCATCTTCATCACCTTGGTGGGCGCTGCAGCAGGGAGTCCCCAACTGGGGGGAGCTACACCAAGAAGCTTCGGGGCAGGGTCAGGCATGGCGGCCTGAGCTAGAGCAGCCATAGCTGCTTTGGGTTGTCCTTTGGGCATCTGAACAGAGCCCAGTAGTCCGCCATAGCCTCCGCCTATGAGAGTGAAGAGTGGGAGAGGCGGCCATGGCTATGGTGGACCTTAAGTGATACCTGCAGTAGAAGAGGGACTCGGACATTGATTCTGGATCAGTCATTCAACATTGTATTATTATTTCTTGTATGAATAAGAGAAGGGGGAGATAAGGAGGAGGAGATTGTTGGGCGAAGAAGAAGAGCCTTGTCATTGTCTTTGCTGGTGTACATCTTCTTCTTCTTCTTCTAATCCCCTCTCTCTCCTCTCAAGTTCATTCATTTCTTTCTGCAATTGGATGGCATTGTACTTTCCAGTGTATGTGTACCTCGAAATTGGCCAGGGTCATAACATTGGYATCATAGCGGATTCTACTTGCTGGTGAGAGTTGACTTTGCTGCCCTAACCCTAACCTAAGTGGCKGAGGGCAACACTTAGGGTTAGGGTTGGTTGGTTGAGGGAAGTGAGGCAGCGCGGCTAAGGGAAGCTGCCCCCACCTGGTTAGGTCATGTGGGGTCGACATAGAACCTAACCAGGTTGCTTGAGAGTGAGATTAGGGTGGCAAGACATTTCGAGGAGACTTCATGCGGCGATTTGTGAGAGGCRACAGTGAGAGGCACTCGCACYTGGAATCTGATTYGAGGGAGAMACTTGGCAACTTAAGGGCTGCCCTCAAGTAGGCGAGCTTGAGGGTCAGCGGCCACTCARCATCTACGGMYTGCAAGTTGCTACTTTGTTCTTCAGCATCGACGGGGGATCCGGCGTTGCACTTTGGTGTTGGAGTCAGACCCTCCTAGGAGATAGGACACTAGTGTAGGGGTAGCGTTACAGGGGTCAGGAGGACCACATGAGAGGGGGGGTGAGTTCTATTCATCTAGAAGCTCAAGGCCACTCAGGTAAGTGTCGTGCACCTACGGGATGCCCATGTATGTGTGTATGGTATTGATTGTCCTGTTGGGGTACTCTGGGTTTCTTTTCCCACTCCTTTGTGGTCTTGATTGTGTGACTGAATGCATGTGATCTACCTACTTACCTGATGGATGGAAATGAAGTATCTTGACCTAAATGCCGAGTCTTTCTACAGTGCTTTGTCTTTTCATCTTTGAACGGTTGTAGTCTGTAGGTTCTGCCAAAAGTTGAAATTTTGTTTTTCAGTGCAGTAGAGACTGAACTAAGTTCATGTGGAACTCCTCTTGGTTGGGACCTGGTTGAGACCTACGTGGGACCCCTGGGACCCAACAGGACCGGGCCCAAACACGAAGAGCCTCTGGACCCAAATCGGTTAGGCATTGCCCTCTTGTCTTCTTGGCTGGGATACGAGTTCATTCTTCTTGGATTATGACACCCACTGCCGAGGGGATTTTGGCTGAGACGTTTCGCATGTCTTTTGGATTGCACCGTCCGTGGCTTGACTCGCACCCTGTACACCACTCAATTCTCCATTGTTGCATTTAGTCACTCATTGTTTGGTTCACTGTACGGTCAGGGAGCTGGTCAGACTGGACTCGAGAGGACCTCGTATGCAGTCTGATGCGACTGGGTCGCTGGATCAGACCTCTCGTTTGAAGTTGTTTGTTTTTCTTTAGTTTGCTTCTCTCTACTTCCAAATGAAATGCTGCTCCGGCTAGGAGTTCTACCTTCTCTTCTCAGAGCTTTTCAGTTTGTTTCTCCGAGTTCATTTCCGATGCCCGTGGAGACTCGCARCCAGAAAGAAGAGAGAGAGAGGAGGGAGAGAGAAACGGGAGAGAGGGGAAGTGACCGTCTGAAGTGGGCAAGGACTGGGAAAATTAGTGTTCGTCCAAGTGAGAGGGAGAGTGAACCTTTTTAGAGTCTAATTGATTCTTTTGCTGACCAGTGACTCTCTGACCCACCTGTCAACACTAACAGTCCAATAATGGCTCAACTAACTTCAGTTCAATGGCGGGTCTTGTAAGATGCAGCCAATGATGTCGAAAAACCATATCTACAAGCACTCCTAGATAGTGCAATCAAAAGGGAACAGGAGGCAGAGAAGGAGAGGAAGGAGACATTGGTGAGAAGGCAAGTGGCCATCCTAGAGACTGTTCCCTCACTGACCGAAGAGCAGTGAGGGAACAGTTGCAGTCTATACTCACCGCCCTTGTTCAAGTCATAAATTTTGAGGATCATACCACTCAGATCGCTGAAGTCTTCGCAAAGCTGCAAACATTTCAAGATGATCTGACTAATATGACCCGCAAGTACCATGAGTTGACAAGGGAGGTGGCTGAGCTGCGACAAGCCCAAGTGGCCAACCCTCTTCCTTTACCCCCTGGATCTGAAGCTGCAATTGAAACTACCTCTGCCTCTCTTACTGTATCTTCTTCCTTGAATGTGTTGGCAMCCCCCTGGGSACCTGCAACAAGTGCAGATTCTGYTGTTGCTGTGACAAACAGCGAGGCTGGAAATTCTGCAACTGGTGCAGSCCCAAGATTGGAACCAGCAGGAGCTGGTCCCAGCTACACCGGTCCCTATGTGGATCGTAAGGCGGTTCAAATACCGTCTAAGTACGACGACAAGAAAGACATCGAATCCTGGATCAGCTYCATGAGGGCATATTTCGAGATTTTGGGGACTCAACCTGAGAACCAGTCTGTGATTATGGGAATGAATGTCGAGCCAGTCGTTCGGGGCTTCTTAGAGGTCCAAGCTACGCGAGCTGGAATTCCTAAAACAGAACTCCTCATATCGCAATACTTGGATTCACATGCTGCAGCAAGGGCAAGAATTCAGCTTGACAAAATCAAGCGTAGCAAGTGGATGGGCTCCATGAAAAGTCTTCAGATCGATCTTAGCAAGATGTTTGCTACACCCGGATTGGAACTAACTGTGCAATCCTGTTTGGATATGGTCAAGGGCGCGGTTCCCACCAACTTCATTAATCGCCTGGGCAGGGACTTCATTGGTTACACTGACTGGTTCACCTTGATGATGGACATAGTCAGTCTTGAGGCTGTAGACCTCGTCACCACAGCAGGCAACAAAAAGTCCATGAGCGGCAGACGGTTCAAAGGCAGCAACAGTTTTGTTGTGCATGACCTGCTGGAGGCCGAAGAAGAAGTCGATGCACATGACCCCACTTTTGGTGACGACCAAGAACAGGACTCTGATACAGCTTGTTTTTCCTCCCATGTGTCTGATGCAAACAAAAAAGAAGAAAAATGTACTGCCTTTAAAAAGACTGTAAATTCAAAGGGACCGAATCGGAGTGCAAGGAAGAACTATGTCCAACTTCCTAAGGGAGTCAAGATCCCACCTAAACCGGAGGATGCAACTACTAAACCTTGGGTTGACCTCCGGATTACTGAAAATGACTGGCGGGGTAGACTCAAGAAGGGGGTATGCCTGCATTGCCAAAAAACAAACCATAAGGTACAAGATTGTTATAGGCTGCAGGGAAACCAGAACCGGGCGTAGAGTCAACTTCAGCAAACTCTACAGCAGGGAAGACTGAATCTGGGGCAGATCAGCAGTCCTCCCTTGAAGCCCAATCATCTGCTGAACACAAGGCTGAGGTGAGTAACGTTTTGTATGTCGAGCCTTAGGAGGAGTCTGGGACGGCCGACTTTCACTACCACTTGGAGCATTGGGGTGAGATGAAATAGCAGCGTGCCCAGGGGACGGTGAAGTTGATTTTCTTCAAACTTCTCATAAACCACCGATATCTCCGTGTTTTGGTTGACTGTGGTGCTACGGCTAACTTTATGTCACCTCACGGGATACGCAAAGTGGGCTTGGGGATGAAGCAAGTGACCTTGCAGAACCCTTGTCGGACCCAAGTTGGCAACAAAGAAGTTGTCTCCTCTAAGCATGCAGTCAAAGGTGTGCGCACTACCTTTGACAAGGACAAAACTGTCACACACACGTTGAACTTCTATGTTTTTGACAAGTGCCCCTTCGACGCTGTCCTTGGCTTGGGCTCGCTGCAGTCCCAATGCGAATGGACCAAGTGGAAGGAGTCACTTTTCATGATCAAAGATGCTAGAGGGAACGAGCTTCCTGTCCTCTTGGATTAGAAGCACGAGTCCACAGTAACTTTTCTGAATGCAATGCAGTTCTGCAAAAAATGACACAAGCACAAGGAGGAAGAACAATTGTATGTTGCCTTTGTTCGTCCTACCCATGTGCCATCTACTTTTGTGGCTACTACCACTACTACCTTGATTAGTGATTTTACTTCTAGTACTTCTACTTTTAGCACCTCTATTTCTCCACCCTCTAATGGTTCAAATGATCCTACTTCAGATTCGATCATCTCTATACGCGACCTGCGACCGGATCTAGGCGATCCCTTTGCTAATCCCCCACCCCCACCGGTCCCACCAGACATCCAAAACCTCCCCGATCGGTTTCCAGAAGTCCTGGTCGAGCCACGTGGAGTCCCCACGCGATCGGCCCGACACACCATCGAGTTGGTTGAAGGTGCAGTTCCTCCAAAGGGCTGCGTGTACCGAATGGGACCCGACGAGTTGGAGGAACTCCGGCGACAGATTGATGAGATGATTGACAAGGGGTGGATCAAACGCAGCGAATCTGAATTTGGTGCTCCTGTGTTGTTTGTTCCGAAGAAAGGAGGCAAACTTCGCATGTGTATTGACTATCGCGGTCTAAACCGCATCACAAGAAATAATGTTTATCCATTATTTCGTATAGATGACTTGCTTGATGCCGCAGGTGGGTGCAATGTCTTCTCCAAGATCGATCTCAAGTCTGGCTACCACCAGATTGAAGTCGATCATGCGGACCAGCATAAGACTGCGTTCAAAACATGCGATGGGCTTTACGAGTTTACCGTAATGCCCTTCGGTCTCACGAACGCACCGGCCACCTTCCAAAGCCTCATGGACAAAGTCCTCCGCGAACAGATTGGCCAGTTCGTGGTGGTCTACCTCGATGACATTCTAATCTTCAGCAAGTCCATGGAGAAACACCTCAAGCACCTTGAGGAGGTGCTGACCATCCTCAAGAAAAT